GTTGGTTAAGTGTCCGACTCTTGATTTTGGCTCAGGTCACGATCTCACAGTTCGTGAGATCGAGCCCCACGTTGGGCTGCCCACTGACAGCGTGGAGCCTGCTTGGGATTCTCTCTCTCTCCCTCTCTCTCTCTGCCTCTCCCCAGTTTGCACTCTCTCTCAAAATAAATAAATAAACTAAAAAAAATAGGTGTTTATTGTTTTAAGACGCTAAGTTTTGGATGAATATGTTATGCATTAATAGGTAACGTATGTGTGTGTTATATATATAATACATACATATACACATATATGCATATATATATATATATATACACACACAAACACAAGTACATATACTGAAATTAATTCCTACAAATAGAAGAACAGGATTAGTGGGTCATAGGATGTAGTCTTTTCAAATGTCTCAGATACACATTGTCAAACCACTTTGTAGAAGACTTATCGATTTATGCTCTGACCAGCATGAGAGTGCCCGTCTCCAGTACACCTGCCCATGCTTGGTATTATCTGTCTAGTGGTGTCTCAATAAACACTGGAATAGAGGAGAGAAGGTAGCTTCACATACGTACAAGAAGCCAGTGGAACCTCATGTTGCTGCACTGTCTTAAACTTCAGGGAAGACGCTCCTGGAGACAGATGCTCATTAAGTTAGGATGACTCCCTCCTCTTCTAACCAGCAAGCCTTGCTCTTGGGATGATGCTTGTCTGAGCAGGAAATGTTTAAAGACTACTTACAGTAGCCCCAGGCCGTGGTCGGCTAAGGATAGCCCTAGACTTTTTGCCCTCGTTCTCCAGAACCCATAAATAACCAGAGTTGTTCTGTAGAAACGTAAAAGGTGCCTCAGTGCACAACTCCTCAGACCGTGCGCTCTATTAAGTAAACCCCCAAGGTGGGACACAGCGAAAGTGAGGGAGCAAGGAGAGAAGGGAATCTCCGTGTAGAATGTTACCGACACAGAAGGCCAAAATTTGGCGGCTAAATCCAGCAATCCATCGGATTGTTCTGAAACGTTTCCCCAAATTGCCATGAATAGGCAACGACTTCCTAGTCAATGCAAAAGAAAGACTCTTCTTCCTGACAAAATTGGAACACCAGGTCTCTTGGTGATGGCGGTTTTTGTTTTGTTTCTTGTTTGATGATATTTTGAAGGCAGCTTTCCAAGCACGCGCCTTGGGGAAACTTGAATGCTGAGAAAGTGGGGCACCACCTTCCTCCCTCTTCACACTCTGTTCCAGGTCCATCCATGAATCGAAAAAAGCTTTGCCTGGAAGGCACCGGATGTACAGGTGTGCAAAAAAAAAGTCCGCGTGTCTGGCGGGCAGGCAGGGGTAGCTGAGACAGTGGAAGGGGGGGGCATACGTAAGCCTCAGAAAATGTCCTGAGAACATTAAGTTGGCAATGACACTTAGGAATTCTTTCCAGCCTGTCTACAAAGTCAACCTAATCCTTCTTTGCTTCTTGGCTCCATAGCCTTTCCCTTTGAAAAAAATTAACACGGCAAAATGCACTAATAAAGCACATACCTTGAAATTACCAGACGCTATCATTTTGTCATATTGGCTTCAGAGTTTTCTATCATGAAACAGATAAAAATTACTGCTCGTTTATTGCCCTTCCTTCCCTTCCCTGATGCTGTTTGCTTGCCTGCCTCCCCAGAGGTAAGCATGATAGAGAAATTGGTGTTTTTCCTTCTAATGCCTCCTTTACACACACACACACATTCACAAACAACATACATTATTGTTTTTGTGTCAATTTAGATGCTTTTGTACTTCTTCAGCTTGCTTTATTGACTCATTCAGGCCACAGCTCTGTTGCTCAGGCTGTGCACTGCATAGCTCCTGAAGGTCTTTCACACAGGCCACGGTGAGAGTGTTTCCCTTGGGAGTATGCAGTACGTAGCCCCACACTCCACATCCTGGTTTTTTTTTTTTAATTTTTTTTAATGTTTCTATTTTATTTTTGAGAGACAGACATGTTTGTGAGGGGGGGAGGGGCAGAGAGAGAGGGAGACACAGAATCCGAACCAGGCTCCAGGCTCTGAGCTGTCGGCACAGAGCCCGACGCGGGGCTCGAACTCACGACCTGTGAGATCACGACCTGAGCCGAAGTCAGATGCTTAACCGACTGAGCCACCCAGGTGCCCCTCCACAATCCTGTTTTGAGATACGTATTGATGTGTGAGAGATCTTGCATTCATTTTCATTACCCTGTAGTTTTCATCGTGTGACCGTGCCACATTTTATTACTGATTTCCTTAGGGGAAGACACTTTGCTGTTGCAAACAGCGCCAGCCAACATCCTTCTACACGTCCTCGTGTGCACAGGTACGCAAATGTCTCTGGGGAATCACCTTTCTCTATTCCGAGGTGACTGTGGTTTAAAGAAAACTACCCTGCTGGGCATTAGAAGACAAAGACAGAGCTGGTAAAACTTACAATATTTATTAGTATGAATCAGTGTTTGTTAAACTCAAAATAACAGATACAGTTGGGCGATGTTGAGGGCAATGGCTTACTATAGAATACAAGGTGGAGAGACCCTAATCGTCTGCCGCAGTGTCTTCTATATGTGAGAACTGGGTCCAGCCCAGACAGAAGCCCTTTATAAAAACACGAGAAAAAGGAACGGTTTACACGGCAGAGCACTGACACTGGATCACTGGGTCTGCTTTCAACGATGGCGGTTGAAAGAGTGCCCTAGACACCAAATGGGTCTGAATACAGCTCCGAGCCCTTTCGTTTACAAGCTGGCTTGTAATTCAGCCCGCTGTGAGCACTGCAGAGCAAGGTGGCGTCCCACCAGAGGGGCTCAGCTTCAGCCACCATATGCTACACTCCTTGATCTGAAAGGAAAGATTTCTGTCATCCAAACCTCCCTCAGAAAATGAATTCAGGGCTCATTGGGGGCACAGCCCTTTCGTTGGCTAGAAGTAAGTTTTAGGCCTTCAACCCTCTCTCGTCTGCAAGGTAACGTCCCATTCGGCACCCTGATGTACCATTTCAACCGTAAAATGGCAAGTCAATTATGTACCTACATAAAACGTTTGCATGACTCCAGCGCCATCGTGGGGGATCCCACGGGGAAATAACCCCCGTGAGAACCCGTGCCTACACGGTACAACACATAGGCACGAGCCAGGCCCAGCTGGTGAAATGGATTACGTGTCGGTGGTAACAAATACAAAATCATATTTACACATATACACGCCCGTGAAAGGAAAGAAAACGGAAGGAGAAAAGCAAAGTTTGGAAAATTATGTGAAGGGTTTCCATCACGTGAAACTTCTTGACGTTTTGGGCCTTTATGTAATATCACGTGGTTATAATTCAACTATCAGAACAGCCAGAACGTGATCGCGAGGCCAAAGAAAGAAAGTCGGAAAGCTTCGTTGTGGACAAAGCGCGAGCGTCTGTCTTCAGAGAAGACTGTGTTTGCATGAATGCTTGTGCCCAAGTGCCGTGTACTCTCTTCACCAACCGCTCGGAGTACTGATTATGTATCTATTGCCATCTGACTGGCCTGAATAGTTAAGGCGGTACAGAAAGGTAAAGGAGTGGTTCACACCCTCGATGTGCTTCTGGAAGAAAACCCTGGGCTCATACGTGGGTTGCTCGCTCGCTGCATGTGATTAACATCAGCTATTTTCATGCAAGTTGCAACCTCCGAAGGCCCAGACCAAGGCTGTGAACCCCACTGGGAGGTGTTAGCACCTTAGCTGGGCCACCAGAACAGCTGTCTAGAGACAGACCCAGGTTCTCAGGGACCGCTGGATGAGGCAAGGCTCCACGACAAGCCCGCGTGCCACTTGGAAAGGGGTCGTTCCATCTGCAGCCCCAGTTGTTTAACTTTCAAAAGGGGCGCGACAGTCACTCGGAGTTGACAATGTGGAGAAAACTCTAAAAAGCCCAGCAGGGGCCCTGCTGAGGCATCCCAGTGCCACTTGCTAGCAGTTTTTGAGGTGCCTGTCTGGGAGAGCTAAGAGGCCCTCTTGAACCAAAAGTAAGTTTCTCCAGCCTGCACATCCTAAGATGGTCACGCTACTCTTTGCCATCGGGGTGCGACAGTTGACGCTATCCGACTGACAGCACATTCTTGAGTTAAAAACAAAAGAGAACGCCTCAATCTGCAATTTCCGCCTGTTTTCTTGATTGCGGTCCTCATAAATTAGTGTCAGCTTGGCCGCGGTCTCTCAGCGACTCTCGCTTTTTGTTGGCGGTGATCTCAGCACCTCTAGCCTGTCTAGAGCAGGGTGGGCACAGCCATGACAGGACTCGGAAGCAGCAGCTCGCACTGGGTTCCTGGGAGTTTGAGGTCTTCTGCCAGCTCACAATCTCTCTCCTGGCTTTTACATTATAGGTTTTCTACTAAAGTTTGCTGGGTCTTGAATGTTCCTACCAAAAAAGGGAACCAGCCAGCCCTGTTACCAGGCTGCCTGATCACCCCCACGCAAGGCATGGATCCAAACATCCTTTAAGAATTTCCTTCCAATATAAGCCCTAATAGGAAGCCAAGGGCTTCTTGATCCCAGATATTGATGGACGTCCGAATGGTAATAAGATTTGGATTTCCAATGGAAATAGCTTTTCTTCCTTTCCATGTCTTCTCTCCCTTTCCTTCCATCGGATTCAGGCATCTTTAATTAATTGAGCAGACAGGGCATCTAGAAGGGAAGGTTTTATGAAAGCCTACTGTCAGCTAATTAGCATTCCAGGGTGGGACCTCCGGGTAGCCCTAGCGCCCACCTGCCCAAGCCTGACATCTTCTAGAACGCTTTCTCCAATTCTGTAATGCCGGGGGTCTAGAATCTTAAGGTGCTGGTGCTCCCTCTGGCTGGCTTTCCTGTAACCTATTAATTGATATTATTGGGGGTGTGCCCTAAGATCCAGACTGGAACATCCCCTGGTTAATTTGCCCCCTAGATATGATGCCATGACATAACTGTCTTAGTAAAATCAGAGTCTGTGCATTAACCTTCCCTAAGAGGGTAGGCGTTTATTACTGTGGAGATGATCATACCAGACAGTCTCTGGAAAAATATTTATATCCTACATCTGTCACCGCTTACACGGTGACTACGTAAATGATTCTTTCAAACTAGGCCTCCCACTCCCAAAATTGCATGCGGTATCTTAGCCAGATTTGGTGTGTTTATATATGACTGAAGGAAAACGGACACCAAGTAAAAGAGATGCAGACAACAGTTTCTAATACATCTTCCTCCACCTTCATCACGGCTCAAGTCTGTAGCTTGAGTGATGGGCCAATTACACTCCATTGAAAGGTAAATGAAATGAAATGAAATGAACCTTTCAGTGAAGGCTGGTCAGGAAACAGAGGCAATGGCACTGAAGAACTTAATGAAATGGGGCTGGGGAGCACAGGAAATCAGAATGGATCACCACTTCGGACTCTCACACATATTAAGCCGATGTGGCTGCTGTACAAATTTAAGAACATTTTAAGGTTTTTAACAACAACACCAACAACAACAATAACAAATCAGTTGTACTCGTGACCTAACACCTGTTCCCTCCCGTTTGCATTTCATGCACCAAAGGCCATTTTGTGGCAGTGTGGCGGATTTTTCTAGAAGCCTTTCCCAGGGGCAGTTCCTGCCCCACCACTGCAGGTCTTCTAGGATGCCAAGCCAGCATCCCACTTCTCCCTATGTGGGGTGCCAGGCTGCCGAGAATGGGAGGTCGGCTCTGGCTTCTTCAAGTACTGTGGACCATGGCCCACGGGTCAGCAGCACCGCCGGCTGGCTTGCGTGGGTGGCTTCCCAAGTTTGATGGCTCCATTGTTTCCATTTTCATGGGGGTCCAAGGGTGGGATCTGGCGACCTGGAACAAAGAGGAGGCCAGGGTTGAGTTTCTTCACTCTAGTCGGTACCACATACGCACTGTGAACCCTGCTTCAACACCTCCCCTTAATGTTTGGGTTGTACAGGAGTAGAGGGGTCCAGGCTCTTTTCCCTCCCTCCCTCCCTCCCTCCCTCCCTCCCTCCCTCCTTGCCTCCTTGTTCTGCTGCATGAAGTTGGACTCCTGTTTAGGAAGTTGAGGAAAAGTAAAAGCAGCCTCCTGAGAATGTGGATTTCCCTGGATCTGGAACCCCGTGCTCACCCAGCCACCTTCTCCACACCAGCAAGGGCCCACTGCTTCCTCTTCAGCCCTCCCACGGGTCTGTCCTACCGGAATGAGCTCCTGCATGGCAGCAAGGCTTCCACAGTAACTGTGAGGGCTCATCTTTTCTGCTTCTTCAAGTAGAACCCGACTGGGAATTGTAACCTTCCTAAGAATATCATCTGTTAACACCTAGCTCCCCATCCTGCATCCTGCCGTGTGCAAATAATCTTATTCTTACTTAATGTAATTTTAAGAAGTGTCCTAGGGTCTCTGCAAAGAAACACAATGTAAAGATCAAAAAGGCGATCGTGGAGGATGGGGAGGTGGTAGCGAAAGGGTATGTGGTTTCTTTTTGGGATGATAAAGATAGTCTCTTTTTTTAATGTTTAATTATTTTTGAGAGAGAGAGTGTGCACGCTCACGCGTGAGTGGGGGAGGGGCGGGGGAGGCGGGGACAGAGGATCTGAAGTAGGGCTCCACCCTGACAATGGCCAGCCCAACGCAGGGCTCGAAATCAAGAACCAAACCGCGAGGTCCTGACCTGAGCAGAAGTCAGCCGCTTAACCGACTGAGCCACTCAGGCCCCCCGAGATGATAAAGATGTGCCAAAACTGACTGTGCTCTTAGATGAACATCTCCGTGAATATGCTAAAAGCTACTGAATTGTACACTTCGAACTGATGAAATGTATAGTATGTGAGTTTTAGGTCAATAAAGCGGCCTTTACAAAAGGCGACGGGATCTGGAAATAATATTTGTTTAGAACCTCGCAGTTTGCAAAGATGTTCACAGACACTGTCTTCACTTAATCCTGGGAGGTCGGCGTGATGGCTGTTAGTCTCATTGTTTTACCAAGCCTCAGACATCTCAGGTTACATGCTGAAAGGCACATCCACAGCAAGTGGCGCGTGTGGCTCTTTAATTATAACCTACATCTTGATTTTCTGATGGGTCCCGAAGCCTGTGTCCTTCTAACTGCCCCGCGTTAGCCCTCTGTGCTACATTCCTATGCCCCATAAAAAGTAAAGGTTGTTCAGATGAGCTCATCAGCATATCAGTTCACTAAATAATCAGGGATTAGAAAGGGAAGGGAAATCAGTTCCAAAGACAAAGTCCTTCAGTGCCAGTGGATGTTGCCTGGAAGAGGCAGAAAGAGTCGATGACAAAGATATTGATGTATTGCACAGATCGGGTGATATGGCCACTCATCAAAGCCCAAGCAGAGAGGTTAAGGTCATTGGCAGCTGGCCCAAATCCGAAATCAATGGTAGAACTCTTCATCTCACTATGAAGCGGATGAGAAGATTCCAGTAACTTTTGAAGCTACTACTCCAGTCAGTTCCCGGACAGCCGACCAAATTATGCAGACCTATTGCACACCGGTCTCCAAACAGCTCAGTCCTGATCCAGAAGCAACTGAGAATGTCAGTACGTCCTCTTCTCCTTTGGACACGATGTGGTGTTTTTTTGTTTTTTTGTTTTTTTAATTAGTCATAATTAAAAGGAAGTAAACAAAATGCTCCTTCTAGTTTGTCAATCTTAAGCGATAGAGGGGAAAGTTCCCAACGACTACCCATAGCCTGATTTGTTTAGGTCAGATCTTGCCAATCAAGCGTTACTTCCTCCCCAAGAGGAAGCGCTGTGTTTGGGAGGAATGATGGTGCCCAGTTACATCATTATTTAAATGTGTAAGATTTCAGGTGCCTCCTGGATGTGTTCGGTGCTGCAACAGGGGCTTTTGCTTTTGCATCTGGAACACTTGGGGCCAAGATTATAACTCTGACTGGTGGAAGCCGTTGCCCTAGATAACTAAAACAAGTACCGTTCACTGGTTACTATTTTTGACAATATCAGAATCAACATCCTATGCCAACATCAACTTCAAGTTATTCTTCGGTTGTTAACTCTAAAGTCAGCAAGGTAGAATTACGCTATTAGCCCTCTCATCTTTGACTTTTTCCACATGCCTCATGCTGTACGTTTTCGTAAGGTTTTTCCTATGAAATGCACCCCAAATACAAAAGAACCTTATGCATACAATACACATTAAAGTCACAAAGGTAGAGTGAAAATCTAGAGACAAAGGGCATATGGAAGGCACAATGGGAATGAATGTCCGGGCAACCCATCCCCATCTGCCTTGCTCTGTCCTTCCTCCTCCCTCTTTCCTGCCTCCCACTTCTCTCCTCCACAGGCAGTAACCACGACAACGTTTAGAACACAAGGTTCAGGAGACCCACATCATGCCTCAAGCAGACTCCTTTGTTTTAAACTGTTAGCAGTGTTTTCGAATCAGTTGTTCAGCCTGGCTTCGTAGAGGCACCGGGTCCCATGTATCTTCAGAACATGCAAAATCTCACTGATTGGAACAAAGTATTTCTCAAAGACAGAGTTAGACTTCGTTTTTCTCCTCTGATAAAAAGAGTGCTGAGATCTGAGAGGTGGTGTCGCGGTTACGTGAACTTGGACAAGCTAGTTAGTGTTTTCAAGACTTCCTTTCCTCGCCTATAAAAAGAATGTGAGACAGTAACTTGACAGCTGCTGTCCATATCCCTCCATGGCCACTACCAATGTGGGAGGAACTAACGGCAATAAACAGGGCCTGGGTGCCCCTCGGGTGGAGTCTGCATGGGGAGCAGGGCTCAGGTACTAGGAGCAGGACCCGTCCTGCTCTCCTACAAAACACAACTTGGGACGGGGCCACCCATCCCCGCTTCAAACAGTGAGAAGAAAGGAAATGCTTCCATTTTAGGGCAGAGGTTGAGGAAAGCTGAGTCATAACGACGAGGCAAGCACCTTAAAAAGAGAAGGAAGCCAACAGTCCTGTGAAAACATAAGAGCTCCGATCTTGTGATCTGAGTTATTTGGAACTTACTGAAAGGTGAAATGCACTTAGACAAAGGAATGGCTCTGGAAAACGGCCAAGGCATTTTGTACCAAGGTGATCACACAACTGAATCGGTATTAATTACATGGGCATAGAATTAGGACAAATATATTAGAGACACAAACAGCTGAAAAGGCTCTGAGCATCATCCTCTGTGGGTTTCCACTCTTACAAAATGTCCTTTGAGTACACGATCTCCTTAATGGGTCATCCTTGAGCAGAAATCCCAGGCCAGGGTGTTTATTTTAACAAGGTTCAGATTGTGTAAGATTCTGCTTGGGAAAAGTTCAAGGGTCCTTTTTTTGTTTTGTTTTGTTTTTTGTTTTTTTTTTGTTTTTTTTGAAATTCAGTTTTCCCGAAAGTTGACAGCCCAGAGGAAAAACAGGTTTTATAAGCGGTTCCTCAGGAATGCGATACGTGAAAACACAAATTGCAAGCCTATAAATGTGATCATAGCTCTGGACTGGGGACCGTAAACGCTTTCACACACAACAAAAATAAAACAGCGTGCTTGGCTACAGCTGTCCTTCCTCCTTGGGTGCAGGACGGGCCATTCCCTGCGCGAGCCTGGAGGCCTCCCTGGTTAATTCTGCTGTTCACATTCTTCTCCCCTTTCATCGAAGTTTAGGATTTACTTGGCTCGGCCATTTTCTGTTGAGTGTTAGAGGAGCTGCCATAATTGCTCTCTAACATCCATTTCCTGACCCTGATTTTCGGAATCACCCTGATTAGTAAACTGACCAATAGGACTTGAAAGTAGTTAGCCTTGATAATGGCCTTCAAGCCTCTCCATTTAGAGAGGGGCGTCTCTATGGAACACTGCCCTTACAATAGGGACAGGGGGGACACTCATGCCACTTGAGTCATTCAAAACTGCCCTTTAACTGCTGTAAAGAAGATAATCTTGGAATTACTAGGTGACCTTGAATGTTAGAGTCTAGACCCAAGAAATGAGCTAACATTCTATATAGGATCAGAATGACTTAGGAGACACAGAGTGAGTTTTGCCAGGAGGCTTGCAGGAAGTCCAGGTCAAAGATAAGGACAGCCTTGACCTTGGTGACATTAAGAGAAGTAGAGGAGCACCTGGCTGGCTTAGTTGGAGGAGTGTGGGACTCTCGATCCCAGGGTTGTGAGTTCAAGCCCTACATTGCGGGTAGAGGTTAAAGATTAATAAATAAATAAATATTAGAAAGAGAAGTAGGAAACAAGGATGGACGGGACTGCAGGAAGATACTTGGGAGGATGTGACAATTGACTGGAAGTAGGGTGACGAGAGGGATAGAGAAAAGCAAAGATAGGGGCCCCTGGGTGGTTCAGTAGGTTAAGCTGTGCTGACAGCTCAGAGCCTGGAGCCTGCTTTGGATTCTGTGTCTCTCTCTCTCTCTGTCTCTCTCCCTCTGCCCTTCCTCCGCTCTGTCTCTCTCTCTCAAAAAATAAATAACATTAAAACAAAACAAAGAGAAAAGCAAAGATAAATGTCTAAGTTGCTGAAGGAATGGTGATATTCACAGAGAGGGAAGAGGGGGAGGTCACCACTGGCTGTTAGACCAAGATGCCAGATAGCTTCAAAATGGGGAGGCCTAAGTTACTCGAAAATCATTAGACTTCCTTACCATTCAAGGGCATCTTTTCCTTTTATTTTTATTTTGAAATTAATAGACTCCATTGATTGAATAGTTTTAGGTTTACAGAAAAAGTTGAGCATATCATACAGAAAGCTCCTAAGACTCCTCTCCCTCATTCCCAACTTTCCCCCTTTTAACGACTTGCACAACTGGGGAACATTTATTACAAGTGACGAACCACCATCGATTATTACGAACTAAA